AAAAAAATGTTATGACTATTCAAAAGTGCTTCAATGTAAGTTTATTTGAATAAATGATTTTCTATTCTATTCTATTCTATTCTATACATTTCATACATTTCAAAAATGAACTTTTTATGTAGGTACATACATTTTTTTCATACATCTCATACATTTCAAAAATTATATTTTAATGTAGGTACATACATTTCATAAATGTCAAAAATTATCTTCTAATGTAGGTACATACATACATTTCTTTCATACATTTCAAAAATTATATTTTAATGTAGGTACATACATTTCTTTCATACATTTCATACATGTCAAAAATTATCTTTTAATGTAGATACATACATTTCATACATTTCAAAAATTATATTTTAATGTAGGTACATACATTTCATACATGTCAAAAATTATCTTTTAATGTAGGTACATACATTACTTTCATACATTTCAAAAATTATATTTTAATGTAGGTACATACATTTCTTTCATACATTTCATAGATGTCAAAAATTATCTTTTAATGTAGATACATACATTTCATACATTTCAAAAAGTATCTTTTAATGTAGGTACATAACACCCCATGTCAGACCCCTTGTATTTGGAAGAAACTTAAAAATAATGCCAAAAATATTAGATGAATATATTTTTAATACGAATATTGTTTTATTTTTGTTCATCAACTTTATCCCTCACTAACAATACTAGTAGTAGTACATAACCTGGTTTATACCGCTAAAGATATTGAAAGATATACGAGTAATTCAGAATGTTTGGCGTGAAAGCGAGACAAATAGACAGACTGAGTTACTTTAGCATTTATAATATTTTTAAGAATATCGCTATTAAAAATAGGGGTTGGTGAAAGACGGGTGAAAATTTAGGCGTGTATGTATTTTCAATGTAACATTATAAATAAAAAAAAATTGTCCATAATACAAAAAAATATTTTTTCGGGGTAGGCCACCCCTATGACTTAGGGGTATAAAAAATAGATAACAACCCTACCTCAGACCTGGCAAGTATACATATCAATTTTCATCATGGGAGAAATATGGCAACTAACACTGTGATACAAAATTTATATATTGTAATACACTACCACTAAGTAGATATATATATATAGCGGCGCACCCGCCGGTAGCCTCGCGCTGTTGGCTCGTTGCTAAGCAACAGATACCCCGGTAGCGGTTGGGTAACGGGAGGCCGGCGGCAGTTGGTCGTTGAATACCGCACGCAGCCCAATAGTCTTACAACTTATTTTAATTATTTTTATGACGATCCAACAATATAAGATATAACGGAATTCTCATTAGGTAAAAGAGGTACCCCTCTTCGTAGAATACATGAGGTATATACCAGTAAATTAATTGTAGCTAAAATCAGTCTCATACATATAACGATTGAAATAAAAAAACGTATAGCCCGATTTTGATACGTACGAGTATAAACGTATCAAAATCAGGCTATACGTATAGCGCAGACGCGTTACAACATATCAAAAAAATAGGCATGGAATGTAAAATAAACCATAACATAATAGGTATATACATTGGCACATAAGCCATATCTGCAGAGTGTCGGCTAACGATATTATACCTACACATTTACATTGAATCTTGAATCGTCCCTAATGAGGTACACGATACAGTTACCTACATATCTATTATATACATATCTTTGCAAAACAGATGTCATGTAGCTGAATTGACTGCCATCTATTTTCATGCTTTGTTACTAAGCACCCACTAGTAATCCGAACTGCTTCAGATCTAGCGACATCTAGCGGCTACGGTGGCGAAATAAAATAGCCCGAAGAATAGCCCGAGTTAGGAAGGAACCATTTTCTTGTATGGGATGGGGTATCTGTATGTAATATTATGTTATCTGTGGTATAAGTTAGTGAAAGAATTAAAAAAATAAATTGCGTTCGAAATTCGAAAGTTATTAAGTGCGTGTGTTATGCTATATTTTTCACGATTTATTGTCGAATTTTCCTTATAAGTCAAAGTAGAAACATTTTTTTAATTGTCATCGAGTATGTACAATTTATATTCTTAATTTATTTAAAGAATTAAAAAATAAAATGCATTCTGACTTCAAATATTTTTAAATGCGTGCGCTATGCTATATTTCGACAATTTATTGTCGTATTTACCTTATGCTTCAGAGCAGAATTTTTTTAAATTAGTAAAAGTAGTTAAAGTATTTAACCCTTGCTTTTCTCTATTCGTTACTCAATGTGATTAGTAATGTAAAAAAATGTAACTATAATATTGGGAATAGGTGAGTGAGTTTGTTTGTTATGCCTTACCCAACCATAACAATCAGGGGAAACTTTTAATAATAAGGACTAGTGACCCAGGAAACTATCGTGATGGGCTCACTGACCTGTGATAAGTATGTTTTGTTATGTTATCATGCCTTAACCAACCATAACAACGAGGAGGAAAGACTTTTAGTAATAAGGACTAGTGACCCAGGAAACTATAGGAATTTGTCATGATGGGTTCACTGACCTGACCTCATGCTTATCCTATCATCCAATAATGCCCCGCCCTGTAAGCGTACACTTAGCGCAGGCGGGTTCTCCATTATCATCCATTACAAAAAGATCGTTAGACATATTATGATTGTCATAATATGTCTGACAACCTCAGAGGTTTGCCACACCGCCTGACTTCCGATGGTCGCGGGTTTGATTCCTCGTACGGTACAAACATTTGTATATGATTGTTTGTGTCGGTCTGGATGTTTTCCATGTATATTATGTAGTCATTTATAAAAGAATGTATCTGTCTATATATTTATGTATATCAGTCATCTGGTACCCATAACAAGCTATTTAGCTAGGTACTAGATAGTGATATGTGAATTATTCAGAGATATTATTATTATTAATATATTATAATAGTATATATACACAATTTACAAACAGGTAGTTCAGTTTACAAATGTAATGTTTATCAGCTATGATGTTGCCATTAATATTGCATATTGTCTGTACCACTACCACTAGGAAACCGGTGTTGCCATGCACTGTCAATAAATTCTCAAATACACAATTTTATGCCTAATTTACGCTCAGCCCGAGTTGGCAGGGAAGTGAGCAGCGCGAGGGTGTAAACTCTTCCCATGCCATTGGCGCTGCCACTCGCGCTGCCCGGCGCTCCCTTGATTGTCGGTTTTTCGTGCGCGAGTCAAAGGACTGGCAGCGTTTTTTTACATTCAGCTCTCTTGCTGAATGCTCAGTTGTCGCCCGGCAATATTTCAGCGCAAGTAGCAGGCTGAATGTAAACGTAGCATTATAGATGATAATGGAAAGGTGCATCTGACCTGGGCTAACGGTTTTCACTGGCGGGGAACCAATGAAGAATAATAAAATGATCATTAAGTCAGGTCAGTTAGCCCATCGTGGTACATTTACCAAGAATTTATCACGATAGTTTCCAGGGGGAACCGCATAGAAATCAATGTGATGTAGTACATGCATACATCGTAAATTGCTGGCAATGGGGTTATTAGTCCACATAAGGGGCGTAGCTACGTCGTATCTGCCGTATCAATTATATGGGGCCCCGGCTCAATTTTTCTTTAATTTGTTTTTTATTTTGTGAGAAATCTTTACCCTTCGTAAAGGCCCTCAAACAACTTTTTATACGGGATCCCGTCAAGGCACGCTACGCTTCTGGTCCACCTTACACACACATACACACACAATCCCCTTTTCGCTCCGCCTCCCCCCCCCCCCTCACAAATGTCCAGTCAATTTCAGCAACTTCCAGGATTTCGGCCCGACTGCTATTATTTAAGAGACTGGATCTACAATTTAGACAAAATTACATTGATTAATTGGACAATTGACACAATGAATGGCACATTTGACCTCGACCTTGTGTGATACGAGAAGTACGCAGTTATCTATGGCTGAGTGAAATCATTGACCGTGCTATGAAAATAAACTGTTTGTTTTTAATAAAAGTACTCGAAAGATTAGGCTTTTATCAGCCGTATTTTGTAGTGTCTGTGTTACATTCCTTTGTTTTATTAGTCAATATATTATTGTTTGTTTTATTTCTAATAGGTATATATATTTTTTAAAATTACATTATTTTTGTACAGTAATAAAATACATATATATACTCGGTAAATGTTTAGTATGGGATGCCACATGTGTGGATACATTGGCACCAAATCATGTGTCTAGATCGTCCTCTCGTCCTGGCACGGCAGCAACACAGGCGGCAATTTTAAAAAGACGAAAATATACGAATCTCGAAGGGTCGTATTGGTTTTTACCATTTGTCGTGGAGACGTTGGACCATGGAGCCCGGAAGCCAAATTGTTTTTAACATATATTTCAGCGCGGCTCATTGAGGTTACTTGAGACCCGAGAGCTGGTAACTATTTTACAAAGACTAAGTATGGTCATTCAAAGAGGCAACGCTGCCAGTATCTTGGGTACGCTGCCTCGATGTGCCGCGTTGGATGTTTTTTGTAATTGTTTGTATTGAATTATGAAATTGATAAACGGTAATAGACCTACATTTTAAGTAAATAAATATGAATACATATATTATTTATTGCGCAGATATTTATTAAGGGCTAATAATGAAATGGTTCACAGCCTTGTTCAAAAATTTTGCTATCAATTGGAAAAAGATTTTTTAAACCAGTCCAGTAGTTTCAGCAATAAGCTCGTTTAAAGAAACACATTGACGTCGTCAGTGATCTTGCGGCTTTAGCACATCGCTTTACTTCTGATGGTCGTGGGTTGCATTCGCGCGTAAAATCATTCGAATTTATGAGTATGGTTGTTTGTATCGGTGTAGGTGTTTACCAAATATATATATTAGTTGTCTAGTACCCATAACACAAGCTCTGTTTACCGTGGGACTAGATGGCCTTGCGTGAATAGTGCCGGGGTAAAATAATAATATAGAACCTTTCAAGTTTATGCACCAAATAAATGATATACATTTCTTAATTTCGATCTCATTCGTTGTCAGGTCATGTTGCTCCTCGTGTGGTTTGTGACTATTGTTGCCGCTTTGGTGCTATACCTTCGCCAGTTACACTCCAAATTCTCCAACAGTGAAGTAAAGCATTTTAAGTTTGTTCGAAGCCTGTGCGACTTCGCCAAGATCATACTGCGTGTTAACCACTTTACAGTTGATCTCCACAGATACTATGACAGCTTTCCTGAAGAGAGGTTTGTAGTTTAGTATAATCATCATTATCATATGCTTTTTCCTTATCCCATTTATTTGGGGTCGGCGTAACATGTTTTTCTCTTCCATTCATCCCTATTCGCAATCATCTCAATATTGACTCCATTTCTTACCATATTATCTTTCACACAGTCCACCCTTCTCATTTTTTGCCTTTCTCTGCCCTTATAACCATCCACGGTCACATGTAACACCATCCTTAAAATATTATATTCATTCCTACGCATTACATGTTCATACCATGACAGACGATTACTCTTTAGCCCCTGCGACACCGGCGCCACTTTCATACTTCCTCTAATGTATTCATTCTTTATCTTATCCATTCTTATAAGACCGCACATCCATCTCAATATTCGCATTTCTGTTACTTGCAATCGTCTTTCATCCGTCGCCTTCACGGGCCAGCACTCTGATCCATACAAGACAGTAGGCCGGATGATATTGTAAATTTTTCCCTTAAGTTTAAGAGGAACAAGTGAGTCACATGTCTTCGTCGTAACCTGTCGCCACTTCATCCATCCAGTATTAATTTTATGCTTTAAGGTTCGGCCTAATTCGCCATTGCTTTGGAGGAGTGAACCTTGATACCGGAAATCGGAGCAAATCGGCATTGAAGCTCCATTTAGCGATATAGCAGTATAATAATACTATTATTATAAACTAGAGTTCACCCGAGCCGTCTGGAGGGTCCATCCGGAGGACTGTCGTTCCCGCCATCTCGCTCAGAATGAGAAAATTAATTTAAAAAAAAAAGTGATGACTTTAGTTTATTTGAATAAATATTTTCTATTTCTATTTTATTAAAAATTCAGAATAATAGCCATAAAAAAAAAACTATTTCCACAGTATTTTTTTACGCAATTGGTATTAGATTTCATGTTTTTGTATTGTATTGTTTTTTTATTATTCTATTTTTAGGTTTGTGGGGAAATATGATTTTCTTAATCCAAGTATAATGCTGAGAGATCTTGATTTGGTGAAGAAAATAACTATCAAGGATTTTGAATATTTCTTAGATCATCGGGTGTTCGTAGATGATAAATTGGACCCATTCTTTGGAAGAAACTTATTTGCTTTGAAAGGTAAGTCCGTGCTTTGTTTAGTGTGATTTCCAGAATAATGCTTAAATAATTTATTTTATTATTTATTTTGTATTTAATATTTAATTAACATTCACACAACAAAATTAAATAAACGTTTTACAAGATATATATTGCATTGAGAAATGCCACTACATAATAGTATCTATATATTAATACAAGAAGCAAAAACTTTGTACTCCTTTTTGCGAAGTTTGGGCGAACGGAGGAATATGTCATTTTGCATACTTGTAGTTTATATAGGTGGTAATTGGGCGTGAAAGAACGTGTCGTGTAAAGGCAATTGTTTATTAAATATTACTGATTAACTATTAGATAATTTACGTATTAACATACATTTATACATAATTTATTACAGGCCAAGAATGGAAGGATATGCGGACAACTTTGAGTCCAGCGTTCACCAGTTCGAAAATTCGACTGATGGTCCCGTTCATGAACGAAGTTGGTAATCAAATGATACAAGCTCTTAAAGCGAAGATCAAAGATTCTGGGGGTAATTATTATTTACTAATTAAAACACTTAAATACACAATTTAGAGTAATTTAGACCAATATATGCAGTATACAAAGAAATTACTATATATGTTCGAAATGACAATAGCACGCTTTTAACACTAATTTTGAACCTTCGGAATAGAAAACATAGTCTTTTTTTAAGATCTTACTTTGTGTTCAGCGTATAGCATCATTAGTACTCTACTTAAATTAATTATTTTCTGTATAGTGGACTACATTGACATTGAGAGCAAAGATCTGGCAACTAGATACGCTAATGATGTAATCGCATCCTGTGCGTTTGGATTGAAAGTAAATTCTCACGTTGATGAAAACAACGAATTTTATGAAATGGGAAAAAAAGCCACTACCTTCAAATACGCTCAGATGCTCAAATTCTTTTGCTTCATCTGCTTTCCAAAGGTTATGGCGGTAAGTAATATTTATTAAGATGTAGATATAGATGAGAACGCCAGGAAAAGAGAGAGAGATACGATCTCTCAAATTTTACTGGTTTATAACATTAGTACAGATAACGATTAGAAAAGCACCCTGGCTTCGCACGGGCGCACAATATACATATGTAAAAAAGATCATGTGTTCTTATACCTTTCACCTGGCATCAGCACCACCAATATCACTACATCAGGTGATGCTTATGCTACCACGAATACTTGGCAAATCGAGAAGAAATATATCATGCCTCTATACTCAGTTATTTCATTGCCATGTCCAATCTTGTAAAATGCAACACAATTGTGTTGTGGCAAAATGCGCAAAGCAGCAGTTCGGCAGCTAATATCCGCGAGTCAGAAGTAGTACGAATTCTGTCAAGCAAGACAACATCTTACCTCTCCCGAATGGCAATGCTTGAAACCCCTTAAACGTTGCCAAATCAAGAGCGTCACTAAGTGACATGATCCATTATGTTGTCAAAAAAAATACAAAACCAATGTCTTCTATTTACGATGGGTGTGCCATCTTAGCTCATTAGCTACATAAATAAAATTTGGTACATTATTCGATATCATTTTTTCAGAAACTGAAAATTAAATTGTTCGCTGCTAACATCAGCAACTTCTTCAAAAACATCGTCCTCAATACAATGACGACGCGAGAAGAATGTAACATCGTTAGACCTGACATGATACATCTTCTAATGGAAGCAAAGAAAGGCACGCATTATTTTAGTTGTTCTCTCACGGTCTAATGAAATGCTACCCCGACTTGGATCCATATGACCTGAGTTCAAATCTGGAAGATACTAAAAACTTTGCATGCCTATTTATTTTTGTTACTGACTCTTCTGTAGAAGGGACCGATATCAAACCAAAATTAACCCGACTTTGAGAGTGATTAATCCGAGAGAGAATGTCGCAGACATTGAATTCAAATGATACTTAGCGAAATAGAGACATAAAATTTTTCGTTCACATTTAGAATGAAGTCGAAAGTTGGGAACGCCCCTGACTAACCCAGTATAGATAATAGTCATGAATATATATTAATTCAATAATTATTTACAGGTAAACTAAAATATGATGATAAAGTAACACAAGATTCCAATGCTGGATTCGCCACCGTCGAAGAGTCTTCTGTTGGGAAAGAAGTTGTAAACAGAGGCAAGTAACATCAAAAAGACAAATGAATAGTATCGTCGACCCTTAATCACCTAAGCATAAATATGTAATAATTGATAAGAATAAATTGATATTGAGATTTAAATTCTTATAATAATATTACCTTTTTTAAGATGATAATTAAGAACATGAGAATCTCAATTTAGTTACAGAATATGATAGAATATCATGTTATAATATAAACAACATTTTTCAACAGTTTGGTCCGACAGTGATCTAGTCGCTCAAGCTGTTATATTCTTCTTTGCCGGTTTCGAGTCGGTATCCTCCGTTATGTGCTTTGCTTTGCACGAGTTGACTATCAACCCTGATGTACAAAAGAGGTTGGCAGAAGAGATAAAAGAGAATGATATAAAAAACAATGGCAAATTTGATTATAAGTCCATTCAGGACATGGTCTATATGGATATGGTACTTTCAGGTAAGAACAGAGAAATAGATGATATTTTAATTGCATAGACAAAAATAACAAATAGTGGTGTAAAATTAAAAGATTTAATTTTTTTAATGTTTTCTTTTCAGAGGTATTAAGATTATGGCCTCCAGCTATTGGTCTTGACAGGGTGTGCATCAAGGATTACAACTTGGGCAAGCCTAATAGCAAATCCACTGAAGATTATATTGTAATTAAACACAATTTAAAGCTATCTACTACGTCACACTTACTTGATATTTATCATTACATTTCGCCCAATTTACATAATATATTTTTGAATCATATATATAAGCTATATTACTGTAAAGTTTAATTAAAATCTGTTCAGTAGTTTCATACATTCATACAAACTTTCGCTTCAAAATGTTCTGTAGTTTTTGCGTGAAAGAGTAACAAAAGGATAGATGTTTGTTACTCTTTTACGCAAAAACTACATACATCCATACTCACAAACATTCGCTGCCATGACTGTTATCCTAGTTGGTGTAGTCAGGAACATTATCAACAGTTGATGCGTTTTTAGCCACATTGCACTGATGATATATAAATTTAACTGGATTCTAAACAAAATTTTTGTAATCCATTATATTTCCGGATACCTCGGGTTGAAGTCGCTTACACAGTTAGTCAGAAATAGAATCTAAAGGGTCTGCGGTTACGTTACAAATTGGATCATCCCCAATTACAGGGTTTACAGGGTTACTTGAAGTATGAATTAACAATCCTAATGAAAATCTGATATTCAGGATCAAATTCAATGTAAAGGCTAGTATATATGAATATAATTATCAAAATATGATCTAGTACAGATCATATTTTGATAATTACATTCATATATACTAGCCTTTACATTGTATTTGATCCTAATGACAAGCCTAATGTATAAAAACTATTTTTCAATAGATTTGGTTTAGGATAATTTTTACCGGAATCTTTGACAATCATTACGGTTTTAATTTATATATGTGCAAAGATAATGAGACGAAATAGGGAAGTTTTTATATGTAATGAGAATACCAAAGAAGCTGACGGTCAACCTGATGGTAAGTGGTGACCGTCGGGAACATTATTTCAGATGACTAAGATGACATGTCTCTCAAAACCATCATTTCAGATGACTAAGATGTCATGCCTGTAAATTCACTGCAAAATTTGATACTACAACCAAAAGCGTCTCATGTAGATAATAATAAGAGTAATGCATAAACATTCTTCAAAATATTACGTTCAGGACCATTGTGTATGGAAATCATTGTGGTTTTTATTCATGGTAAAATCTGACCCTATAATCGAAACACGTATGGTACAGACAAGAGCAATGTATGACCGTCCTTCAAAAAAGTTTAGGACCATTTTGTATGTATATTTTAGGAGGTTATTTGTTATTGTAGACCAAAAAACCAACAGAGAACTTCGAAAAGGAGAAGTTGCTCAAATTGAATCTTGTTTCTCTTCTATTCTTCTTTTTCTTACACATACTTCCTTTTTTCTCGTTCTACATATAGATAAGGAAAGGCGAAATCCTTGGGATTCCAGTGTGGGCAATACACCGAGACCCTAAGTACTTTCCAAATCCTACAAAGTTTGATCCAGAACGTTTTTCAGAAGAAAATAAAGACAAAATACAACCATTCTCATACATGCCATTCGGACTGGGCCCAAGAAACTGCATTGGTAAGTAATAAAGATAAATAAATAAATAATCCTGTACAATTAATACAGCGCCATCTAGTCCCACGGTACACAGAGCATGTGACTTGGGTGCTAGACAATTGATATAAAATATCTAAGTAAGATATTTTTTTTTGTAAATACATAAGTAATATATATCACCCAGACCTATATAACCAGTCATACTAATGAATACAAATATTTGCACCGGGCGAGGAATCGAACCCGCGACCATCAGAAGTTAAGCGGTGTGCTAAATCGCTAGACCACCGAGGACGTCAGTATAAGGAAATATATAATAAATATGCTTAACTGTCCGTTTGTTTAACATCTGACCGGATCTTAATAAAGTTTGACGTAGAGATAATTTGTGTGTCGTAGGTTAAAAAAATATATTTGAGTATATCTATCAGTTGTTTAGTGCCCATGACAATAACTATAATATATGTACACACATCGCGGGAAGGCATTGGATGCGAGCAGCGCAGGACCGATCGTCGTGGAGATCTTTGGGGGAGGCCTATGTCCAGCACAGTGGACGTCTTCCGGGCTGCGATGATGATGATGATGATATACACACATGCCTACACTGGCAATTAATACATTCAATTAATGATTTGACAACTGGCATTTCTTTAAATAGAAAAAAAGATCAATGAACTATTGAATCAACCGCCTATTAAACCTCATGTAAATGATTCAGCTTCTAGATTCGCTCTGTGCGAAGTGAAAGTGATGCTGTACCAACTACTGCAACACATGGAGCTGACGCCGTGTGAGAAAACATGTATACCGACCCAGCTGGCCACGGACACGATAAATTTACGAATCAAAGGAGGCCACTGGTTACGAATGAAGATCAGATCATAGATTTAGGAATGAAAAATACCAAATTAGTAATTAACTTATATTCTTTACATTTATTTGTAATCTTTAATAAATATTTTTAATGTGTGAAGTCGAAATTAAATATAGTTATTCTGATTTTATTAATGTAAATTGTGTTTTGGATAAATTCATAATAATCTTCTGTATCTACTGTTTGCTGCTGGGCAATTAAATAAACAATCCCTCAGTTGTAGAACGTATAGGATTTAATATTCCACAGAGTTACGTGAGAAGTGTCACCCGTTGACGTGTCTGACTGTTTGCAACTGCGGTGGTACGCACAAGTCACGCTAGTAATTGTCCCACTGTTTGAGAATTGCATCTATTAAACTAAGATGCTTACGAATACACAGAAGCCTTGCCTTCTATCTACACATATAAATAAAATTGGAGTATCTGTTTGTAATATTGAAATAACCGTTTTTTACTACATGCATATGAATATGTATAGGGTACATACACCAAAATATTTTTTTTTACAATTTTCGTCTGTCCCTTGTCTGTTTGTTCCGGCTAATCTCTGAAATGGCTAGTCCGATTTTGACGGGACTTTTTTTGGCAGGTAGCTGATGTAATAGGGAGTTACTTACCTTACTTTTATATTACAAAAATAAATTTAAATTCCACGCAGACGATGTCACGGGTACAGCTAGTAATAAATAAAATAAGAATGTACCAGTCTTTATACAGTTAAGTATAATAGTTTTAAAATTGAAACGACAATTAGCAGTAAAACAGAATAGCAAAAGGAACATTAATAATGTCGATTACTGGCCTCATTATGGTACCTATCGCTGACTACCGCCCTCATTATAATACCTACAACTTATTTCTGCCAAAGAACAGCTTGCTTTATAAACTGCCTTTTAATTTTAAGGGTGATATTACGGACTGTGCGTAAATTACAAGGTACGAGAGCCTTAAATCAATAATACCTATTAAGGATACGGATACGGATACTATGCACATACGGATAACATACGGTTTATTACGAAATATGCTTTAATGGAACTGGTATTAAGGCTTACAATATGATACAGAAGGATCACAATCACATGCGATTTCACTTATATAAACATGTACAATATTAGTTACATACAATACTTCGACTTAAAATTAAAGCGACAAGTGTGATCCGCAAAGGAAGAAGAAGCAATACAAAAATGTCGTAGATAATTGTAGGAAATTCTCCAGAGTTCTCTAACAAAACACTCGTTTACAATTATACCCATTTGCAGGTACGTGAATATAATAATAAATAAAATAAAAATAAAAATGTGATTCTAATAATTGTTATAATAGAAACTTTTAATATAGATCGGGATGTAATTTTAAGCAACCTGTAATAAGAAGTGTAAGGATTAGTAGAATAAGAAGAAAAAATCAATCATAGCGCATGCTGCCAATGAATGCCACAGTGCTGTGCACTTGAAATGATAATTTCTTATAATGCTTCCATATTGGCCAAGAAAATAAAAGAAATGTAGTTTTCAGAGGAGGCAATCGGGTATTTCAGATTTTATTGTATTCAATAATAAACATGAAATTAGATGAAATTTAGTTTTGAGAGGAGGCAATCGGGTAATTCAGATTTTATTGTATTCAACAATAAACATGAAATTAGATGAAATTTAGTTTTGAGAGGAGGCAATCGGGTAATTCAGATTTTATTGTATTCAACAATAAACATGAAATTAGATGAAATTTAGTTTTGAAATGAGGCAATCGGGTAATTCAGATTATTGTATTCAACAATAAACATGAAATTGGATGAAATTTATTTTTGGAGATAAGGCAATCGGGTAATTCAGATTTTATTGTATTCAACAATAAACATGAAATTAGATGAAATTTAGTTTTGAGAGGAGGCAATCGGGTAATTCAGATTTTATTGTATTCAACAATAAACATGAAATTAGATGAAATTTAGTTTTGAAATGAGGCAATCGGGTAATTCAGATTATTGTATTCAACAATAAACATGAAATTGGATGAAATTTATTTTTGGAGATAAGGCAATCGGGTTATTCAGATTTTATTGTATTCAACAATAAACTATCCCGATGTAATTGTCTATGTAATTCATATTTAAATATTTTTCAAATTCATACATCTACTGATGTTAAAAATATACAATTGTGTTTCTTGCCAATACTGCTCAAATGAAACAAAAGCTAGCTGAACTTTTTTTATACAACTATGGTGGTAATCAAGCATGCGGCCTATCTAATAATACCCTAGCCTATGGACGAAAATAAAAAAAAATATGATTGAAATGTGTAAAAAATGCGTAAATAAAACCTACGTACCCCGTCTCTCGAGAAAATCTCGGCAGGTAGTTCTTTCTACAATCTAAACGTACATGAGACGAAGTTCCTCTGACACCGTACAGTCCGAGACCACTTAAATTCAACATGTGGGGAAATTCCCAGTCGATGGCAAACGGTGTGATGGTAAAAAGTAGCCTTAGGCTACCATGTCGAACAATTCTTCAGAACACAAAGTGGGCGGAAAGATTAAAAATAGTTATCTAATAAATGATAGAGATATTGAGTGGATTACATATATAGTAGTAAATATTATTTACTTCGTTCCGATTGCAGTTGCACGTTACATACAAACTGTTACTTAGCAACAATACTTATTTTAAATGTGATGGATTATACTTTTTCTACTTCAATCAATGTGCCTAATACGGTCCCTTAATCCATTACATTTAAGACATTCTACATCTCTACATTTAAATAACATACATAATATAAAACAATATACAGAAGAGTAAACAATAGAACTACTAGCAAAAAACATATCCAAAATTAAATCTGTTAAAATACTAATAATTTCTGTTGGACCTATAGAGATATTGAGTGGATTACATATATAGTAGTAAATATAATTTACTTTCGTTCCGATTGCAGTTGCACGTTACATACAAACTGTTACTTAGCAACAATACTTATTTTAAATGTGATGGATTATACTTTTTCTACTTCAATCAATGTGCCTAATAATAAATAATAGCGTGTTCAGGTTACAAAAATCTAACTTCAATTGCATCATTACGGATTACTCAAACACTATTTGTCTAGTCCAGATAAAAAATTAGGACCACATGAAAAATACCAGCTATTAAATAAAAAAAATTTAGAAGAAATCTGTTCACATATAGAAAAGGAGGTAACATGCATAAAAAATACAGTCGAATTTAATACTTTCAGTTTTTTGAAACAGGGTTGGAAATTAAATCTACGCAGTAGCAATAGTAGTGGTCTTTTCGCTCCCAAATATGCCACTTAAGTACAATTTAAATTGAATAAATTCGTCATACACAAGTTGATTCTACGCAGTGTTGTTTGAACCCTGACAAATACAATACGCGTTAGTTTATATCGCGGTGTGATTGATTTCTATTTCTATAATAGAAATATAAAGTTCTATAAAGAAATCCAGATATTGTAAGTGTTATCTATTGTTTGTTTTTTTATTTTATTAATAAGAAATAGATTTCGTTATCCAGATATTGTAAGTGTTATGTCTTAACTATTGTTTTTTTATTTTGTTAATAAGAAATTGAATTAGTTTTTTAATTTTTAAATGTATTTTTATTTACGTTTTTTAAAGTTTCTATGAATACCGAATTGAATACATTGTTAATTATGTAACATTAAAAAAACAGTGCTTTTAAATGTCGTAGTTTTAACAAAGTTTGTTATGGTATGAATGTGGCGACACGGCTTCCGCTTACCATCAGGCGAGCCATAAAAAAATAATAAGTACTCAAAGTATGTAAAGTAGTTATTAAGCAAGGTCAGAGGGACGAAGTTCCGAGCAAAAGCTAATATATGTCATTAGTCTTTCCAAACTGTAGTTGTAAACAACTCTATTTATTTATAGATATTTCATATCTTTATTTACTTGAATGATTAAAAATTAAACAACACACTAAATAAGGACAGACATCGTTAACTTATATATAGAATTATATATTTTATCTACCTAAATAACATATGTACATGGCAATAGTTGTTCATGTAGGACAAAGTTGAATGACAATAGACGTATGGCATATGGTAAGAGAGGCGCAGAAGACCCGAATTTAGACTATAAAATTCAACGATTCTCTAGATCCTTAGTTCCCAAAGTGGGGACTTAGATCCCTAGGGGCCAACAGAGACAAGAGGTCCAGGTGGCTTGACAAAAAAATTCAGAAGTATGCGGTCCACAAAAATTTACCTGCTTTCAATAGTGAAGAACTAAAATGTTGGTTTTACTTCACTGATCAATGCAGACAGACAATATTTTAATAAATTCAGCCACTATTACTTAAAAACTTGCATAGTCCATCTTTTTTTGACATCCACAGCACAATCAATGAATCAATCAATTAATAAATTCTTACATTTTTCGAAATCTATTTATTTCTGGTGTAAACTCTGCCGCAACGCAAATTTCCGTAGTTCTATTATTCTAAAAACTTGACTTGAAAAAATTACTTTCACAAGTCGAGTTTTAGGTATATAAGGAGACATTTGTTTGTCAGAGACTATTTTCAAAATTTAGCTACATTTTTCTAAATTCGCTTAATTCGATTTGTAAAACTAGCTAAATTTTCCAACCTCTAGATTACAGATAATTTCAGATCGCGTTCGCAGATAATGACTAATTTTGGAAATATGATAGAAGTGTGACGAAGTTTGGTAGAAATGTATGTGCAGGAAGTCCTTGCAGCGATATTTCTACAATATTCCCAAAATTCGTAACTAACAATTTATTTTAGAACCTCTGTTTTCGATGATAAGGGGCGACCCCAAGTAATGAGAAATGATATTAATTTTACAGACCATGTTATTCCTACTCTGGTTGGTAACTATTGTCATCGCTCTCGTACTGTACTATCGTCAAGTTTATTCAAGATTTAGGAGATGTGGCGTGAAGTACTTCAGACCTATCCCAATACTGGGGAATTTGGCAAGAACCGTGTTTGGGCTAGAACACATGGCAGACGATCTTGATAGATATTACAATAACTTCCCTGATGAAAAGTAAGTCAAAGATTCCCTGTTGAAAGGTAAGATTATGCGTGATAATTCACAGATAACATTAATTGTAAATAGAGAGTATTGTGGCCTATTGTGGAGTTGATAGGGTCTACCCCAAATATTATATATACGATTTTGGCAGACACAAAAAAACTTTGTGTGTCTAGATGTTTTCTAGATATATAATGTATTACAGTATTTATTCAAACATGAGTCTATTTATGTATTCCTATCATATGTATTGTAACCATAAGACAAGCTCTGTTTAGCTTGGGCAACTGACGCTACGTAAGTCATCTGCATCTGCTGTGGCGCACCATTCTATTAGCATCAATTAAAAAATATATTAGCTGTCTTAATACGTCCATCTTTTGCGTGCGAATCGGCTTTCACGCAAGAAACCATGAACAAGTAAATGTAGACAAAGAAAACGAGAAAAACCGCGCAAAGTAAAAGTAATTAGAATATAAATAGAAGTAATTGATAATTTACAAATCTCAAACGTATCTTTGGAAAATTACGTTACGTAATAAGAAAGAAAATTTTGAATGAAAGTGTGATGACATGAAACACGCGCGAAAGAGTGAACACAAAAATATTTCAATGTAAGGACCTCACGACTGCGCGTGCTGGCGTTTCGGGGCGAAATCGCGCGCGCACCTGATCGTGCATTAAAGAACGTGTCATGTAAAGGCAGCTGTTGCATCTATATCAATATCTTATATTTATAGACTTTACACGACATGATCTTGCTGGATAAGCTGGAAATATTTATAATCTTGAATCATTTCGCGCAATCAAACGCGAAAGAGCGAACACGTGGTACCTATAAAAGCAGCTAAAGATATAGAAATTTCCTGCTTATACAGTAGTAAGGTTTACATTTGCGATATTATAGCTGGGGACTCAACTAGGATTTAGTATACGCTGTTTCATAGTAATCCAACTTTAGCTTACAAATAACTTAAGCTGTGAACGGTCTAAGGGAAAGCCTAATTCTTTCTCTATACCAGTAAGTTTTATTAAGGTACATTTTATAAATATTTCTTATTTTTATAAGTTTTTAACAATATTGCCATGAGGTAATAAAATGCATGATTGTAAGAGAAGTGCTACGTAATTATTGTTTGTACTTTTATTCCTGTATGAAGATTTTTGAAGTTGAAATTTTTAAAAAGTTTATAAACTTCTTCTATTTATTGTCCAGGTTTGTGGGCCGATTCGAATTCCTGAAACCAATGCTAGTTATGCGAGACTTAGAACTTATAAAAAAGATTACGGTGAAAGATTTTGAATACTTCTTGGATCATCGAACTATGGTTGACGAAGACACTGAACCTTTCTTCGGAAGAAACTTATTTTCAATGAAAGGTATATATACATAGATCATATTATAACGACTCTTAACCTTTTATTGTAGAGCAAAGGTCACTAGCGTTAGGGGAGAAATACTAATAATAATAATAATAACTCTGGATACTTCACAGCGCCATAATTGGAATTACTTGGGACTTGGGAATTGATTGGGACTAGCCCGATTAATTCCCAAGTCCCAAAAAATTCCAATTATGGTTATGAACAATAGAATCTATTATATAAGAAAAAGAATAATTGATTATACTTCCAATAAAATTAAATAAAAGGAGAAACATATGAAAGATACTAAATTCAGTATGGGGACCAGGTTCAGCGTATCTCGACAGGATGCTCCTGCGCGGCACTGGTGTCCAACCAAACCATTTTCTCCCTAATTTAAATATATAAAAAATCTTAAGCCTTTTCTCATTTCATTTGGGTTCGGCTCCAAACCTAATATAATAAATAATATAATATAAAAAATATAAACTGAAAACAATAAAAATAAAAACTTAGGTAGCATCTAATATATAACACAAATAAAATCTTGTATAGGTCAAGAATGGAAGGATATGCGGTCTACTCTAAGCCCAGCATTTACCAGCTCCAAGATGCGACTAATGGTACCGTTTATGGTGGAAGTTGGTGAACAGATGCTGTTAGCTGTAAGAGCTAAGATTCTGGATTCAAAAGGTATTGATCCTTTCATAATGTTATTATAGCTTTTAGTCTGCCTTGAGAAATCCTATTTTTTACAACTTTGAGATACACTGCAATGCTATGTGGTCATATAAACAATTAGAAGTTCCTTATTTTTTTACTTTGTTTCTTAGTGACTATATTTTAATCTTATGAGTATTCTTCCTAGATTTTTTTTATAATAAAAATATCCCTGAACAAATCACATAGATACATCTAGTCCCATAGTGAACAAAGCTTATGTTATGGGTACTAGACAACTGATATAAATACCTACTACTATATTAGATATTGTTTTTTGTAAATACATACATAATACACATAGAAAATTCCCAGATTGATATAAACAATCATACTTATACTTATATATATATATGTTTGCGCAGTGGACATGTTTTATGGCGTGGTTCGTTCCCGCAGCCATCGGCGGAAGTACAGCGATGTTCTAAACCACTAGACTATCTAGGCTGTCATAAGAAACAAATGAACAAACTAAGTGAATAAACTGTTTTAAACTTGACGCGGTCATTATATATACGTATAATTAGTAATAATCACGGAAATATCGGGAACTCAGCAAATAAATATAAAACGTGGTAAGATCCCGTGATTTTTACTAATTATACGTATAAGTGAATAAAATCTTATTTTTCGCATTTTTTTTTATTAATAATGGGATTGCGCTTGGTCTTACCTCATCTGATGGTAAATGATGGCAATACCTAGGATGTAGCGCGCTTACCCAGAAGATATCTATTCACCATAGACTTGAAGAATCCGGGGTTGTATGGTGTTTCATAATAAAATTAATAAATATGCGTTGTTATAATTTCTCTCATAATAGAATAACAAGTAATTTACTACTTAATGGATTTATGTTACTTTGTTTAATTCCGCTACAATCAGCATGTGTGACCACAAATATTCAGTATGGAAACGTGACTACCGATACAATTTTCTCTAATGGCCATCAAATTTCACTGAAGCGGAATGAAATAAAATAATATAAATGTAATTAGTAAAGAAATGGCATTCCGCAAAATAACACTTAAATCGATAAAATATAAACAAATAATTTCTTATTATAATATGTTTTCAGAACAATACATCGATATTGATTCTAAAGAGATGACTACGAGATTCGCTAACGACGTGATCGCATCCTGTGCATTTGGCATCAAAGTGAATTCGCACAAAGATGAAAATAACGAGTTCTACCATCAAGGCAAGAATGCAGCACAATTCAAATTCTTACAGTTTGTTAAATTCCTTGCAATCAACTCGTTTCCCAAGATAATGAAAGTGAGTTTATACACTATTTTTATTAAATGATAATTTGTCAAATGGTATTAACTTTACTTTATGAGAAGTTGTCTGTGTGACCTTTTTTCACTCTTCACTTCTTATCATTTCAGTCGCAAAGCAGTTTCCTTTGTACGCTAGCCCGAATAAATTCGCATAGTTTCAGAGTTACATGATGCTTTATTTATGAAAATAAATAACTATAAAGTAACAGTAACCTAAAAGAACATATACACAACAATCTCCACGAAATAATTAATAATATGATATCTAAATTTTCTAAGTTTAGACTCTAAATTAATTTCTAAACGCAACCTGGTTGTTTACGAACATTATAGGAAGGAAATTGTTTTTACTTAGTATATTTTCCTTGAAAATGCTTTAATTGGCTGTTTAAACGTTCCTTGGACATTTACAAATATTTCTTAACTAAAATGAGTCAATTCGGTCCAGCGGTTTTCGAGTAAATAACAGAAGTAAATTCAATTTTAAATATAGTTCTAGAAGTACCTAATTAACCAAAAATTTCACTCTGTACTAAAATAAGAAAGAAACTCATCATTGTTCATCTCAGAGAAAATATCGTTGCACAATTATGTATAAAAAATAATAAACAAGACAGAGGTAACAACGGGCGGCTAGGCAGAAAAAATAGAGCAGTCTATTTCAAGATCTTAGGATGTAACAATAATGGCAAATGTGATATAAATATAAGTATACATACAAAATACAAAATATTATCTATACATATAAATAAAATTGGAGTGTCTGTTTGTAATATTGAAATAACCGTTTTTATAACATGCATATGAATATAAATACGGTAAATACACTAAAATAACATTTTTTACCATTTTTGTCTGTCTGTCTGTTTGTTACGGCCAATCTCTGAAATGGCGGGACCGATTTTGGCGGGACTTGTCTTGGTAGGTAGCTAATGTAATAAGGAGTAACTTAGGCTACGTTTATTTTAGAAAAAATATTTTATTAAAATTAAGTTCCACGATAATACGAACGAAACGAAACGAACGAAGTCGCGGGTTCAACTAGTTATAAATGTTAGCATATTTCATGTAACAAGATGTTATCTTTAATAAGGAAGATCAACAGGAAGGTCAATAAGAAGTCGGTCACAAATAGACGTAGCACAAGCACATTTAATGTATATGACATTGAAACTTAACATGATGTTCGTGTACGCTGATTCAAGACAATTGTTTTATAGTTGTTTAATTATTGATATATTTATTTATGATAATATTACATTTGTTAATAATAAAATACAGTAGCTGAAGCGGAGGTACCTGCTGTACCTGATGAGTCAGAGGTAATGAGGGTTTTATCAGGAAAAATGCGGAGATAAAAGAAAATGCGACTAATACGACGATGATATATAATAGAATGTTACAAAAAGAATATGTCAAAAAATATGATTCTAAAATTAAAAATACTATAAAAACCCGTCAAAGAGTTCCCTGCATATTATTATTAGATTTTTTTTATAATTTCCGCGCTCTTATTGATTTATATTGTCTACTAGCTGTACTCGCGACTTCGTCCGCGTGAAAAGAAACTATTTTTCTAAAATAAAAGTAGCTTAAGTTACTACTTATTTCATTAGCTACCTGCCAATAAAATTCCCGTCAAAATCGGTCCAGCCATTTCAGAGATTAGGCGGAATAAACAACAAGACAAACAGACAAAATTGTAAAAAATGTTATTTTGTTGTATTTACATTCATATGCAATAAAAACGGTTTTTACAATGTTACAAACAGACACTCCAATTTTATTTATAGGTATACATTTCGTTTATATTTACCGAGAAAATCGCCATTTGACCATCCACTACGTCTTGTGTTGTTAATTTCTCATAAAGTTTGGTGCTTATCTCAGATTTTTACTCGTAATAAACGTTTTTAATACTTACATTATTTTGTATGTTCAGTCTGAATTCGAATAGGAGTTGGTCAACTAGTCAAGCGACTAGTCAATATTCTAGCAATAGCCTAAATTTTACATTCATATGCAGTAAAAAACGGTTTTTACAATGTTACAAACAGACACTCCAATTTTATTTATAGGTATACATTTCGTTTATATTTACCGAGAAAATTGCCATTTGACCATCCACTACGTCTTGTGTTGTTAATTTCTCATAAAGTTTGGTGCTTATCTCAGATTTTTACTCGTAATAAACGTTTTTAATACTTACATTATTTTGTATGTTCAGTCTGAATTCGAATAGGAGTTGGTCAACTAGTCAAGCGACTAGTCAATATTCTAGCAATAGCCTAAATTTTACATTCATATGCAGTAAAAAACGGTTTTTACAATGTTACAAACAGACACTCCAATTTTATTTATAGGTATACATTTCGTTTATATTTACCGAGAAAATCGCCATTTGACCATCCACTACGTCTTGTGTTGTTAATTTCTCATAAAGTTTGGTGCTTAACTCAGATTTTTACTCGTAATAAACGTTTTTATTTCTTGCATTATTTTGTATGTTCAGTCTGAATTCGAATAGGAGTTGGTCAACTAGTCAAGCGACTAGTCAATATTCTATCAATAGCCTAAATTTGTTGCTATATTTCAATAATCCAATTTTAAATATTTAAAGGGAATTAAAATTATTCAGATCAGTAAGGTTTCCAATGGGAAGCCGCTCAACATGACAGCATCACAGAACATACTCGCTTATAGTCCTGGGACTGATCGCAAATGTACTCAGTCAAAAAAAAAATTAACAGCCAACCAAATTGAATATTATGCGTTGCGCTGTCTCGGTGTATATTGATCAATGCGTTACAGTAAACGATTGATTGATGATATTGTCATTTATATTTTAGTTTGACAGCCTCGGTGGTCTAACGGTTTAGCACATCGCTTTACTTCCAATGGTCGCAGGTTCGATTCCTCGCACAGTGCAAATATTTGTATACATGAGAATGATTAATTGTATCAATCTGCATGTTTTCTATGTATATTGTGAAGGTATTTACAAAAGAAAATATCTAAGTATTTATATCAGTTGTCTATACGAAACATAAGCTTTGCTTACCATGGGACTAGATGGCGCTGTGTTAATTATCAAGGGTTATTATGTATATATATTTACAGTACGTATTATTAACCACAAAAAGTACGCACCATTACATCCCTAAATATTTTATATCTACATATTTTCTGAATTAATTATGAATGGATTTTTTCAGACTTTAAAGATAACATTTTTCAGTGCAAAAACGTCTAGTTTCTTCGAGAATATAATACGTAATACTATGTTACATCGAGAAAAGAACAACATCATCAGACCAGACATGATACATTTACTCATGGAGGCTAAAAAAGGTACTCGTTAAAAATTGTCCCAACTAAAATGAAAGTTTTTTTTGGTTTTATATAGAGATCTCACTCATATTCTTTGTACGTTTGTGAAGATCATTATCGTCATCATTACGTAGTATAACATAAAGTCGCTGTCGCTGTCTGTCCGTCCTGTTTTAAATATTGAAGCAACAAATTTTGAAGCGGTTTATTTTAATAGAGTATATATAATACATGTACACGCGGGCGAAACTGGGGCGAGTTGCTAGTATATGTATATTTTTACAAACGTACAAAGAAATTGAGAGAGACGCTAGAGACTGCAGCATGTGTTTACATCACTATATAAGTTTTTTTATTATATATGCTAAGTGTGCCTGCGGTTTCACCCGCATCAAAGTAGCCAAGTGTTATTTTGATATATCAGCTATATTACTGTAAAGTTTCAAAAAACAACTTTCAGTAGTTTTTATGTGAAAGAGTAAACGCGAAAGTTTGAGACTATATATTACTCAAAACTACTGAACGAATTTTGATGAAAGTTTACAATGCTATAGGTTATACATCAGAATAACATATATTATGTAATTAAAATATATTATATAATTTGGGTGAAATATAGTGATAAATATCAAGTACCTAAGTATCAAGCAGACGAAATTGTGCGGATCAGCTAGTTATAAATATCTATACTTAAACGGGCTTACGTTTGCCGGCACGGTAACCAGCATCCGGCACTAACCTTGGTTACGAGCTAGTCGAACATCAAAAGGTCCATCTTCTCAGTTTAGTTCTTTCTCGTCGTTCTCATCAAAATTATTAGTACATGTCATGTAAAATCATTCCATATAACTCGTTTAACTATATTAATTAACAGTTTAATGTTTAACTATTTTTTTAAGTATACAGTATTTTGTAATTTTACAGGGAAATTATCACACGATAGTGCAATTTCACAAGATGCCAACGCCGGTTTTGCTACCGTAGAAGAGTCGTCGATTGGAAAGAATATTGTGGACAGAGGTAATCAGAACATTTAGAAGAATAATAGATCAAATTTAAGAAAAAATAAACGGGACCAACACAGAACTCAGTTATATTTATTTCAAGGATTATTATGAAAATCAGTTTATACTTTTAATAAAGATTGGTTTGTAGGTTTTGTTATTAGTGTGATTTATATACACCATCTAGCCAGCGCCATCTAGACCCAAGTTAAGCTAGCTAAAGATTGTGTTATGGGTACTAGATAACTGATACAAATATATAGATAATTTTTTTTCATAAATACATACATATTATTTATTGCATACATACATATTCATTTCTTGATTTAATTATTTTAGAAATATGAAAGCGTAGCGGTTTTTGTATTGATTGATGTAAAATGTGAATACTATAACTATCAGATGGCAATTGTAAGTAGCTATGACGTGGTCTAGTGTTTTGAGTAGTCATGCTCACTAAAATGTCCAGACTTGTGCGGCGTGGTGGGCTGGGTCATTGGGCTCCCTAAAATTTGGTCGAGCGCAGTGATGGCTGGCTCATCCGTCATACTCGTGAACGGGTGCTGCTTGTAGGGTCTGGTCTGCTCTAATCGCTATGACTGATTTCCTCTTATAAATTGTTTAACCAGTTGGTTATATATTAAATATTTTTTTCTATTTGAGTATTTAATTCAATTAGTGCTAATTGGTGGTTTGTATTCACACATTTAAACTTAAAAATGTAAAGTAATAATAAAATTATGTAAAAGAGCAACACGCTAGTTTCTTGCTCCTTCTTGCGATGAGACATCTTTTCTTATGAGCGGTAGATTAAAAAAATGTAGTGACTATTCAAAAGTGCTTCAATGTAAGTTTATTTGAATAAATGATTTTTTATTCTATTCTATTATACATAGAATACACCCGATACAAACAATCATACTCATGAATACAAATGTTTGTACTGTGCGAGGAAAAATTGAATTAAACCGCTAGATACCGAGGCCCTCATAATTACACAAAATACTTGAAAATTTTACTTATATATTAATAGTGTTTTTTGACTTTTCTTTATTAGCTTGGTCAGAAACTGATATAATAGCCCAGGCTGCAATATTCTTTATTGCTGGCTTTGAAGGGGTATCCACGATCATGTCGTTTGCACTGCACGAGCTGGCTCTGAACCCTGATGTTCAGGAAAAACTGATAGAGGAAATAAGAGAAAACAATAATCAGAATGGTAGCAAATTCGATTACAACAGCGTTCAAGACATGAAGTATTTAGATATGGTAGTTTCAGGTAAGAAAGTAAACTCTAGTCAAAATAGAGAGAATAGTACATAATCCTTACTTCCTTAGTATTATAAATGCGAAAGTAACTCAGTCTGTCTGTCTGTCTCGCTTTCAAGCCAAAACTACTGAACCGATTTGAATGAAATTTGGTACACAGACTAGCACGACAAAACTAATTGAAAAAAAATTAAATTTGGTACACAGATAATTTAGAACCTGAAAAAGGACATAGGTTACTTTTTAATCCAAAAAAAGAATTGAAAGGTTATATGGAAATATCGCCAATTTACACGGACGAAGTCGCGTGCACATCTAGTGTTATACATTTTTTTATCCCTAGACAATTCACACAACACCATGGAGTCCCAACCTAAGCAGAGCTTGTATTATGGGTACTAGACAACTGATATAAATACATGGATACATTTTTTTTGTAAATAAATACATATTATACATAGAAAACACCCAGACCGATACAAACAATCATACTCATGAATATAAATGTTTGTACCGTGTGAGGAAACGAACCCACGACCATCGGATAGTAAAGCGGTGTGCTAAACCACTAGACCACCGGGGCTGTCTAGTGGTTTAGCACATATGATAAATATGATCTACCGAGTGTCTGTGAACAAATGATTACATAATTGCGCCTTTACACGTACATTCTTTCACGCGCGAATCTTCTTTTACGTAGGAGAGAATGTGCATTATAAATGTAGACAAAGAGAAATAGAAAGACCGCGCGTGGCACCAGTTCTTCAATCGCGCGAGCTGTAGCGCCTTTTGTAATAACATTGCAAAATAGCGTGTGTGACTATGTAGCTAATACATAATTATAGAATTATTAATCACTACACAGTATAAAATAAAGTCGCTGTCGCTGTCTGTCCATACCTATGTATGTTTAAATCTTTAAAACTACGCAACGGATTTTGAAGCGGTTTTTTTAATAGATAAAATGATTCAAAAGATTTATATATATAATACATGTACACCCGGGCGAAGCCAGGACGAGTAGCAGAGTTTATAAATGTTAAACGTGACTTTGGAAAATAATACATGTATATTAAAATTTTAAATTATTACATGATACATTTAGATTAAAATACCTAAGGATATGTTGGAATTACCCTTAAATAAATTTAAAACATCTGTTAAATCATATTTACTGAGCAAAGCCTATTACTCACTAAACGATTACTTGAATGACGAGTGTGCATGGCAATAGTTAGTCATGCACTGAATTTTAATTTAATGTTAGACATAGACACCTATATAAATATACATTGTAAATAAACTGGCTTTAAAAAAAAAAAGTAATTCAATTGAGTTTCTTGCCAGTTCTTCTCAATTGGATCTATATACGGAACTGGACGGTAGGGAAAAAAATAAAATTAGAATGAAAAAATTTGACGTTCATAAGCGGCTAAAATGTCCTACATGAATAAATGATTTTTGAATTTGAATTTGAATTTTATGCGATCATTCGCGATTGCGCGCGCAGGATTTCCCGCGATAAATCGCACGTGCGCGTGAAGAAACGTGTCGTGTAAAGGTAGCTATAAATTAATAATATATTTCCAGAGGTGCTTCGACTATGGACGCCGGCTGTCGCTTTCGATAGGGTGTGCGTTAAAGATTACAACTTGGGCAGACCTAACGACAAAGCTACTGAAGATTATATTGTAAGTAAATTTTATAAAACCTGCTTGAATGACAAATCAGTTGACAGACCACTTTATTAGTTATATTTGAATAACTACACAAATATTTTTTATATATTTGTGTAATTATTCAAGATTTACTATTCAGGACTAGTGAGACGTCTCGCCTGTCTTGTCCTGTAATTTCACTATCTTATCTTTACTTTTGAACCGAGACTTCTAATAATGTTGCAGCGGTTGAGATACGCGTGACTTTTTAAAAAGTTTACCTCTGGTTAAATAAAAAAAAATATATATTAATCCCACCAACTCGATGAGCTCCATCACCAATAGGGATAACGAAGAGAAAATCTAAGATTTATACAGACTTTTATCCCCTATTTTATCCCCTTAGGGATGGAATTTATCAAAATCCTTTCTTAGGGCGATGCCTACATCATAGTAGCTTTATGCATGGACAGTCTCAGTCCGATCGGTTTAAAATTGACAAAGTTTCATACAAACTTTCATCCCCTATTTTATCCCCTTAGGGATGGAATTTATCAAAATCATTTCTTAGCGGATGCCTACGTCATACTTCATACTACTTGCATGCCAAATTTCAGCCCGATCTTTCCAGTGGTTTGGGCTGTGCGTTGATAGATCACTTGTCAGTCACCTTTGAGTTATATATATGTATTTAGATTTTATTGTTTAAATATTTTAGATCCGCAAAGGTGAAGGCCTTATAATACCAGCCTGGGCGTTCCATAGAAATCCAAACTACTTTCAAAATCCTCTAAAATTCGACCCAGAGAGGTTCTCTGACGAAAATAAACATAATATTATTCCCTTTACATATGTACCATTTGGACTGGGTCCTCGGAACTGTATAGGTAAGTGATCATTAATTACTTATATAGATTTATACATCTTAATATAGTACCTATAAAATAAAGTCGTCGCTGGTCTGTACGGTTAGATCATTAGATCTTTTAAATTACTCAACAGATTTTAATTTACTTTTCCGTAATAGATAGAGTTATTCAGATGGTTTATACGTATAGTATAATTATAATATCTCTGGACAATTCACCAACGCCAACTCGCCACTAAACTACTAGAAATAGAACTGCTAATAGAATACTTAAATATATTGTTTTTATAAAAACATATGCATAATGTAAATATAAAAAACCCAAACTATTATTACCAATAATGATTATGAATACAAATGTTAGTATCATACGAAGAATCGAACTCTCGACCATAGGAAGTCAGGCGGCGTGTCCGTTAGACCACCGAGACCGTCAAATATCATAACATCTAATTTAATGTTGTTTTTCTTTTGAATTCAATTGCATTCAACTTTTTTAGGTTCCAGATTCGCGTTATGTGAATTGAAGGTAATGCTATATCAAATACTTCAAGATATTGAAGTGGTGCCGTGTAAGAAGACTCCTGTTCCGGCCAAGCTGGCCAATGGCACATTCAACGTACAAATTAAAGGAGGTCACTGGGTTCGGCTCAAAATACGACAAAACTAGCGACCTGTCCCGACTTCGCTCGGGAGAAATTGCTGTAGGGAATTCTAATTTTACTAAGAACAAAATACGGCATATGGTGTATAATGTATATCTCAAATATTAGACACACGCGCACAACTCGTCCGTTCCATTCGCGAGCTGCTCATATAATGCCATTTTAGTCCGATTCGCTGTTCATAGGTCGCCATTTTGTTTCACTACTCTTGAAGAACCATGCCAACACTCAGAGAGACAACACACAGAGACATAAATATTTTGGTCTAATTCGCTGTTCATAGGTCGCCATCTTGTTTCATTACTCTTGAAAAACCGGAAGTGATAACACTATAGATCAGAGTTCCTCAACTTCTTTCACGGACCCTCAGGAAATGACCCTCAAGAACCACGACGATGACCTAAGACCACAGGTTAAAAATACTGCTATAGATGAAAGAATTTTTTAAAACGGTTAAGTACCTAATTTATGATCTGTAAATTATAAATAAAAAACATATTATATTTGCAAACCTTTATTTTTTTATACCACAGTGGTGTAATCAAGCAAGCTCCATACCGTTGCTTATGGAGGCCTGAAACACCAGGGGTGTGTTGGTGTGAAACAACATGTATGCGTTGCCGACCCTTAGGAAATCTTAATATACCTTGATAAACCCCATGTCACTAGAGAAAACCTCTGGAGGTAGTTCATTTTACTATAAGTGAGCGTGTGATTAAACTCCTTCTGCCTGATCAATCTTAATCTTATTATGGATTACAACTACTTTAACTATTATAACGTTTTAGCGAAAGTTTGTAAGAGTAACAAACATACTCAGAATATACATTATTTAAATTATTAACCGACTCTTATAACGACACGAATAATTTTATGCCAAATACCTTTACCTCTCTCGACGTTTCGACTAGGTTGCACTAGCCGTGGTCACGAGCTGACTGGAGTAACAGCGATGTCAATGTAGATAGGTGACAGCAGTTTTTTCTACATCTACCGTCACTAGATTATTTAACGAAAGTTCGCGACACACAGTACTCACGGTATCCGTACACTTATTGACTATTGATGCTACTGAACTTTGCTTGAATTTATTTATGACTGGATTCCACGCAGATGAAAATTTTAAGCCATCCTCTCTGTTGAAATTGGGATGTTTTTTAATTTCAATCGCCTCCCGGACCATTCGTGGGTAATAGTGGCGATCAGTAGAGAGGACCTTAAGCACATGTAGTTCAATCCAGTGATTTGTTCCAGCGTTCAGTAGATGATCGCAGCGGTTAAATATCGACAATCGACATTAAAAACCACACAAATCAGCGATTGCCAACCTAGTCGAAACGTCGACAGAGATAAAAACCTTTATTTCCCATAAAATTATTCGTGTTAAGACCCGGTTAATAATTTAAATAATGTACATTAAACACGAAAGTTTAAAAGTACTAAGTACTACGTACTATACTATACTTAGAATATTGCGCCGCGTGCTTGCAATGGCGTCCCATTTGTTCGCCATCCCTGTTTTACAATGTTAATTTATGTTATTGGTTATTGTAATAAATTAATTTGCAACTGTATCTGATATGAAAATATCTGTATATTAATAATAAATTATATGGTAAGTTTCAAAAACGTGTTTTGTTTTTATTTATCCCAATCCTGCGTTTAAATACATCATATGTAAATGTTACCTATATTTATATGGGTAAAAAAAGGCCAAGGTATGTCTCTATTGACCCATTAAACTTAAAAACCCTAGGAAGGCAACATGCTGTCTTATCATATGAAAACATTAGCTTCACGACTTATCCTAAAAGGGATGACCTCGGTGGTCTAGTGGTTGTCACACCGCTTTACTTCCGATGGTCGCGGGTTCGATTCCTCGCACGGGACAAACATTTGTAACATGATATGATTGTTTTTTATCGGCCTGGGCGTTCTCAATGTATGTATTGAAAAAAAATATCTATGTATTTATATCAATTATACAGTACCCATAACACAATTTCTGTTTGGTTTGGGACTAGATGGCGCTGTGTGAATTGTACTGACATATCATTATTATTACTAGCTGACCCGCGCCACTTTGTCTGCATCACACTTATTATTATATATCGCCCAATTTACGTAATATCTTTTAAATGATAGACTATGTTATTCTGATATATAAGCTATATTACTGTACATAGTAAGTACAGGTTACATAAAAATTCGTTCAGTAGTTTCTGAAAGAGTAACAAACATCCATCCATACTCACAAAAAGATAAATTGACTTTTTTTATGTCGATCAGATTTCATATAATAATTTAATATAACACCATGTGTTAATCTTGTATTAAAAAAAAATAGTCTACGATCGGAATTAAGCCAAATAAATTGGTATACGGATTAAGGAATGAACCGATTAGCATATAGATTGGGATTGGGATTGCGAACTCATTGCTAAATCTACTGATCCCAGACTATCTCCAATAAAATTGCATTGTATTTTAATTACATAATAGCAATTTTCTTACAATCCTTATAAGGATAAGGATTGTAAGAAAGGTAAGGTTAGTAAGGACTAATATTATAAATGGGAAAGTAGTTACATGTACAGACATTTTAGCAAAGACTTCCTTATCCTTACTAAAATGTCTCTCTGTCAAAACTACTGAACCGATTTAAATGAAAGTTGGTACCCAGATAGTTTAGACCCTGAGAAAGGACATATCCTAATTTTTAATGCGAAAAGGACGGACAGAAGAGATGTAAGGTCTTATGGAAGTATAGTTATTTTTAGGTTGTTGATATTTAATCAATATGACATAAATAATAATAATAATCTCAGGACAATTCACACAGCGCCATCTAGTCCCAAGTTAAGCTAGCTAAAGCTTGTGTTATGGGTACTAGATAACTGATACAGATATATAGATAATTTTTTTTTTCGTAAATACATACATATTATACAAGAGAAAACACCCAGACTGATACAAACAATTATACTCATGAATACAAATGTTTGTGCCGTGCGAGGAATCGAACCCGCGACCATCGGACGTAAAGCGGTGTGCTAGACCGCTAGACCACCGAGGTCGTCAGTAAATATAACAATCAAAGTAATAAGACGAAAATATACGAATCTGGTGGGGTCGTATTGGTTTGTACCATGTGCCGTGGAGACGTTGGGCCCATGGAGCCTGGAAGCCAAATTGTTTTTAACATATATTTCAGCGTGGCTCATTGAGGTTACCTGTGATCAGAGAACTGGTAGCTACTTTGCTCAAAGGCTAAGTATGGCCATTCAAAGAGGCAACGCTGCTAGTATCTTGGGTACGCTGCCTCGATATGCCGCGTTGGATTACAATGATTGTTTTTTGTAATTGTTTGTATTGAATTATGATTATAGATAAATAAAGTAAATTAATTGAAAAAAAAAACAATTAAAATTTGTAAAAAAAAATATCCTAGGGATGAAATAAAATAAGTTGTGGGTGGTGCTAGTACAATATGTACAAATATGGTACTTCTTCTTCTTTTTCTCATTCGCTTCGTTCTTGTCAGAACGATCGTGGTCTTTATGTAGTGGGATGTGAGGCTGATGTCATCCGTCGCACGACAGCTCGCCATTTGTCTCTACTGTCTGCCATTCTGGTACACTCGTGGAGTGGACCGCCTATTGCTTCTTTAATGTGGTCGGTCCATCGCATGGGTGATCGTCCACGGGGTCTAGTCCGGTACTTACACAACTGTAATATTTCTGAATCAGTTTGTACCTGATTGTCATTTGCGTGTGTCTGATCAGTTTCTTGTTCATAGTAATAATCTTATTAAAATCATAAAGTTTGTTAGTATAGACGTATAGATGGATGCATGTTTGTTACTCTTTCACGCAAAAACTACTAAATGGATTTTAATGTTACTTTACAATAATATAGCTTATACATCAAAATAAAACATAGGCTATAAATTTCACACCTATTGCACAGCTAGTAAACTATAAATCTGTGATAATTGTGTCGCAGAAATTTTTATATATTATCAATGACAATTATATTGGTTGTCATTACGAAAACCCAAACAGAATTACATTACGGATTTCTTACTTCGATTTTCCTGCTTCTCAAAAGATGCGCAAACGCAATCTAATTGAGTCCGCAGTCGGCCGGCGAACGTTGTCGAGATAGAACGTGATGGCACATAAATTGCTTTATTTTGTTGTGTTAATGGCCTGGTGCCATGCACAACCGCGAGCAGCTCAATATGTGGTGCCAGCAGCTAAACTTGAAGCCATATACCCTAAAGGTCTGAGGGTCTCCGTTCCAGGTAAATAAATTTCGCATTTTTCTCTTAACAATAATAATAAGTGTGACCCGTAATTCTAAATTACGATATCGAATAATTTCGAGGATTAAAAGAAGTAAAAAAATAATAATAAATGTTAAAGAAGACCTTTACAAAGTTTCTTATATGAAGGTTATAAATGTTGATAGAGTATTAAGCAACTATACAATAATATAAATGATTTTCGATTTGATTTGATTTGATTAAAACATTGCCCTATTTCGTGTTGTTTACTATGAAATAAGTAATTAACTACGTAATTTTTTTTATAACTGGAATGTCAACATTCAAGTACCTTCCCAATAAATCAACTTTGACGGCCTCAGTGATTTAGGGATTTTGCACGCCGCTTTAATTCCGATTTCTCGTATGAAATTGTAAAGAGCGGTGTAGAATGATTAATGAATTTGTATCTAATAGAATTACAATTGTTTTAGAACAACTTCTACCGCCTACTTCTTAGTCATTCAATCAATTCAATCCGTGAATTTGCATTCTAAATATCGGGGTATATTCATAATATAAACTTTTATTAAAACTATTAAGACATTTTGTATTATATTCAATCAAAATATAATAATTATGTGATTAATTACCGTTCTGTTTGGACCGTGCAGATAGAGAGACCATAACTCACTTTGTAATAATATAGATAAAAGTAATAAATTATATATAATGAGTCGATTAACTAACGTAAATATCAAATATAAGGAAAAGTCACTCATAACTTAACTATACATGAACTCATAATAATATAAAACATCAAATAAAACATTTTTTTATGTTGGTAGTTTATATATACTACTTAACTATCAACACGCCCCATCTTCGCTTAGGTGTACATGTATTACATATATAAAATTTCCTCTTAAATCACTCTATCTATTACTAAAAACTGTAATCAAATCCGTTTCTTAGTTTATAAGATCTAAGCGAACAGACAGCGGAAGCGACTGTCATCTCATGCTATATATATAAATATTAGAAATGGCAAACCAGATGATGGCTACATTTAAAGTAATAACATATATGTATACGAAATTATTTTGTCCTTTTTCCGACTCGCTCTCCTGCGATAATAAACACAGTAAACAAAAAAATTAAGAAAATCTAAATAGATTTATATGTATATAAGTAAAAAATAGACTTCCCAAAATAACACTTAATTCGATAAAATATAATAAATAAACTTCATAAACGTAACTTAAAATTCTTACATAGGTAATATATATTTTTTTTTCCCTGAAAATGTTCACTAAAAGAACTGATTACAGGCAGGCAATAAAAATAAGCATCTGGACCGCATATATACCTTATCAGGGATTAGGGTCAGTTACTTTTTTATTATATAAAACCCCATTATATATGTGACAAGATAACCCGGTCGCCGTGGAATAAATTTCCTACGTCATATAAATCCTGTAAAATGACCACAAAAGGAGAGTACTTATACTTAACAGATTATTTAGTAAGTACATATTTTTTCTTTTGTGTATTTATTTTGTATCTTTTCCTGTGTAACTTCCATATCCTACTAATATTATAAAAGCGAAAGTGAGTATGGATGGATAGATGTTTGTTGCTCTTTTACACAAAAACTACTGAACGGATTTTGATGAAACTTTACAGTAATATAGTTTATACACCAGAATAACACTTATGCTATAATTTATAAAGATATTATGTAAATTGTGCGAAATATGATGATAAACGTCAAGTACAAGTAAGTGTAAGCGCAGATAAGGTTGCGTGTGTCAGCTAGTATGTCATAGATGTATGTATGACAGATTACATACATATAATGTAAAGTAATGTAATGTAATACGGATACAAATAAATAAATAAAAAGAGATGGATGGACTGTGTGAAAGATGATATGGTAAGAAAGGAAGTAAATAACGCGATGACTGCGAAGGGATGAATGGACGAGAAAAACATATTACGCCGACCCCAAATAAATGGGATAAGGAAGAAGCAGATGATGAATGTAATGTAATACGGACTCTATTCATTTAGCTTCTCATCTGAGGCGGTGTGTGTGCATATAGAGAAAGATTAGATACATATAAAATTACTTATCCCAACTTTGGCTCCACTTTCTCAGCAATGTCGTATGTAGATGGCCAAAAAAATACATAACGACTGTAATATATATATATATATATACTATACTATTATATATGTATGTATTATACTTACAAACATTGCTAAATAAAATAATAGTCAACACCATACAAAAATCGGTGCTTTCGAAGTATGCTAAGAAACATGCAAATGAAAACAGAAATTTTGCATTTTATATAAATATGCATTCTACTCTATGGATTTGGAAAATTAGATGCAGGAGACAATTTACGGTAACTGCTGATTTGTGAATTATAATACAATTTCATGCTTGGTTGCAATAATATAGTTATTTAGGGTTCAACACATTTACCAGACGTATATTAGTCAAATATATATGACAGCATCAGTGGTTTTGCGGTTTAACACATCGCCTTACTTTAGATGGTCGCGAGTTCCATTCCTCGCACGATAATATTTGTATTAATGGAAATGAATTTAATATTTCGTATCCTGAGATATTAAATATTATTATCATCCTACAAATAAAAGCAAATTGAAACTTTTCAAACCATCTGTTTTACAAAAAAGCAATCGCATTATCTATCATGACGATGACTTAATAATGGTTGATGATTTGATTTAATTTCACAAGAATTCATTGAATTTAAATAAAAGCAACATATTGATTTATTTATTTATTTCTCCTCACAAACATAATGACAACAATACATGTAGTATTTTTTATAGTAAAATACTTAAATTTATTATTTTAATCGATTTGCTGTGAGGAGCTGGTGTCTGAGATAGGCATAACCTGTAAAATATAATAGTAACAAAGAGAAAATGCTGTTGTATATAAAATTGCAAAAAAATTCATGCAAATGGAAAGCAAAAAAAGGTATTTTCTGTTAGCAAAGATGACATAACCGCGTTTGATATCCAGTTATGTATGTATCATCTAATTGCCAAGAGACAAAACAAATCGTTTCCTTAACTAATCAGTATTACTCAAGACTGGTTTCTCGATTACGGCTTCCTTAAGCAATGTAATTATTATATTTTACCTTGATGACTATTCACGTGACAGAGTCAGACTAGAATGTGTAACTACTCTTTTTCACCCCAAATCGTCATTGAAAGCGACTAAGACTAAGAAACAAATCGTCAAATAAGGTAAATAGATATTATTTAAAAGAGCAACACGCAAGTTTCTTGCTCATTCTTCTTGTGATGAGACAGGTTTCCGAATGAGCGGTAGATTGAAAAAAATGTGATGACTGTTCAAAAGTGCTTCATTTAGTATAGTGCTTGATTTTCTATTCTATTCTATAATCACAAAGTCATATATATAACAGAAAAAAGACTCAAAATAAACCCTACACTTTGGTAATAGACTTAATCCATCTCTTATGATAAAAAACTCCAATTTAGCAGAAAACTAGAATAACTAGTTCTGACGACGTCGTTGTATTGTCGTGGGAATCTAATAAAAACCGTCTAAAAAAATGGGAAATCAAATCAAAAAATTGCATGAGAATTTTAGTTTTAATTCCCCATTTTTAGACGGTTTTTATTAGATTCCCTTAATCCTAGGTGCAACCTTTGTATGGGTGTTTGGGTTAAAGGATGGATAAAAGTCAAGTATAAATATCCCTGTGATTGAATCGTATTTTAATCATAGAATCCATATCGAGTTATAGTTCATATATAATAGAACTTAGTCCTCAAGAATGGAAACGTGTGAATATTTATTTATTTATTTAATAAATAAAATAAAATATATACTTAGTAAATAAATTAACACTAAAATAATCTGTCACACAAATAAATATTTATACGTTCTTATTCATAAGGACTAAGTTCTGTGTAAAAATCATAATAGACTCTCTTATGTAAGATAATAAAACCGTATATTGTGTCATTTCAAGTCGTCTGCATAAAATAACATTCAAAATGCTTTGAATTTCATGGTTATTTTGTACAATATATATTTAAGTTACGTGCTCAGAATGACGACAAAATTCGTTGACAGAATTTGCAATAATAACAAATAAAGTAACCAGATATTTAGTCCCGAAATATCTTTGGTTCAATGACATAACATTAAGTTTTTCACCGGGCACTTCTTAAATTAGTTACAGTAACATCAGATTCTTAAGAGCCAATGAACCTAATGCCGCAGTAAAAATTTCACGGTCCGCTCTTCAAGTCAAAGACCAGTAAGTACTGTGGAACAGGTTCAAAAAACCTGTTCACGGTTCATCTAAATAATTATTTACATCTTCAAGATATTCGTTTTTTGTTTACAACTGACAACTGAAGCTAATAGCTTTGTGAAACTATGTAGCAATTGAATGATTGATAGATAATAAAGTATTACCGTTATTGAAACGCAAACACATTATTAAAAAACAATGCGAATGACACTGCTTTAAATAGTGCTATCAACAACTGAAGACTATTTGTTGCATCTGCTTGTGCTTCTAATGACTTTTATGATTCTATAGCATATTCTTCGTGTGAATAAGGCCTCGAGGCTGGACCATATTAGTAAAAAGAGGATTACTATACTGGGTAGGTCTTGTGGCTTGAACCTAGATATTCGTAATCTTGATGGTAATACTGGGAACCCTAATTAGATGTATTTTAATTCTAACTTAAATTTATTACTTTCTGGAACCATCTTGGAGAGTTTGACTTGATCAACTATATTGCATTGTTCTAAAAATATCAATTGTTAACAATCACTTGCAGAATTTAATACAAACATGCAGTGTTGTCTATAGTAAGGTAGAGAGCCTACCGCCATCTTTATGATTAATTTAATTTGTAAATATTTTTATAGGAGTCAGTCAGTCAAAAAAATAAGTTGAAAAACGAAGTTTTTCATTATCAACTATGTAGTCTTGCTCTCATTACCTATGGGGTCAATATTATTAATTTCAGTATTAAAAGAATGATATTAAGAATTAGTCTTCCTGTGTTTCAGATGACGGCTTCTCTCTTTTTGCTTTTCACGGCAAGCTCAATGAAGAAATGGAAGGTTTAGAAGCTGGGCACTGGGCAAGAGATATTACAAAAGCCAAGGAGGGCAGGTGGACCTTCAGAGATCGAAATGCCCAATTGAAATTGGGAGACAAGATTTACTTCTGGACTTACGTCATAAAGGATGGCTTAGGATACAGACAGGACAATGGTGAATGGACAGTCACAGGTAAATAACTTAAAATAAGATAAAAACATAATGTACAAGTCAGTAATTTGGTATTTATGAGTAGGTATCTATAATTAGCGTTTTCCTCTCAAAAACCAGATTTTTAGGAATATATAATATTTTTCCTTATATTACCATATTAATTTGAGAAGTTTTTTTTACATATCATATACTATTACGAAGGATTTACCTTATAATCTGCAATACTGGTATAAAAAAGCTGAAAATTATGTTTGTAGTCGTTAATCTCTAGAACAGTCAGATTTGAAAAAAAAATTCTACTACTGAACCGATCATTTATGTCATCCTGCGTGATCTTTGTAATTAGATGTTTCTTTTTAATAAAACAGCTGGTGTACCCTATGGCATGGTTAATTCCTTATTAAGATTTGTAATTCAAATTCAATTCTTTAAATTTTGGTACTAGTGAAGAATGTAAATGTTTCCATCATTAATAAAAAGATAAAACTTGCCATTATAACTCCGCTTCTAATGTTCTTCCAGAGTTTGTCGACGAGGAAGGTAAACCCGTGGATCCAAGTCTGGCACCTGAACCAGCACCAACTCCACAGAAACCCCAAGAACCAAATAGGCCATCGCCTCCTGCACCTAGACCTGATCCACCATGTCAAATATCTAAAACTACCGTTCAAGGCAGGAATGCGGTTTGCGCTGGAAGTTTGATCTTCAGTGAGGACTTTGACAAACAAGGATTACAAAACTTGGTTAACTGGGAGGCCGAAATCAAGTTTCCTGAAGAACCGGTTAGCAATTTCTATAGCTTTATTATTGTTGTTGACCTTTGTGTAGTAACTGACCAGTAGTTTGTTTTCACACTCAACTCAAGAGCTTCATTACCATTTTTCTCGCTTGAATCTACATGGTTTATGTTATATATCTGATTTTAGTTATTATTTAATAATAATATTACTACATATCATATAGTATTATTATTATTATCTACAAATATAAATGAAATTGGAGTGTCTGTTTGTAATATTGAAATAACCGATTTTTACTAAATGCATATGAATATAATACGGTTCATACAAAATAACATTTTTTACAATTTTTATCTGTCTGTCTGTTTGTTACGGCTAATCTCTGATATGGCTGGATCGATTTTGCCGGAATTTTTTTTTGGCAGGTAGCTGATGTAATAAGAAGTAGCTTAGACTACCTTTATTTTAGAAAAATAAAGTTAAATTCAAAAAATAAAGTTGAATATAATAATAACTTTAGTTAACTATGAAGTAAGATAGAGAAAATAATGATAATCCAGGACAATTAATACCTCGGTATCTATTCCTATTAATATTAATTAATCAAGCAATATGACAGCCTAGTAGACTCGTAGTCTAGCGGATTAGCACCTAGCATTATTGGTCTTTCTTTGTATATTATCCAAATGGTTCGTGTAATACTACACACGGTGCTGCTCGCCAGTTCTCTTACTTGAACTCGGCTTTGACAGGCTCCCGCGTGTCTAGGTCCATTCTATATCAGTTGTATAATCCAAACTATGCTTATCTTGTATCACAGCCATTCTGGTAGTCAGTACCGAGGACGGGCTATGCCAAGTCTCTCGTTACTTTATTTTGTACGTAGTTTTATTATGTTTATTTTGTTATGAGTAAAATCATAACAGTCGTCGTGAATTTGCTATTTATTTTATTTTATTTTCCAGGATTATCCGTTCAACGTGTACATGGCAGATGAAACGTTAGCCTTAAATGATGGAAACCTTGTCATCAGTCCCAAACTACTGGAATCACATTTCCACCAGGGTATCCTGTCCGAGAGTCTCGATCTGACTAATAGGTGAGGAAAGCACTACCAACAGTAATTTTTTGCATTATTTTATCCAACAACACTACATGTATTTGTTTCCATCTATATTAGTGAGTAGAAATAAATAAAACATCATTATTATTATTCAAAATAACAATATGTTATCAGACGTTGTTTTGCCATATATATTGAAGTTCTAATATCACTATTAAAAATAGGGGCTGATGGTAGAAGGTTGAAAATTTAGGTTTGTATGTATTTTTAATTCCGAAACATATACAAGCTCATTTGAAAAGAATAAGACCTGAGTTTCTTGTTAGTTCTTCTTAACTCGAAAGCTGAACTGACGGTGGATTTTACATATCATAGTCTGTAATAGACCTATATGAATATTCTGGTTTGATTTGATTTGAAATCATTGATGATTGTTATTGTTCAGGTGTACAGGACCTATCGACACATCACAATGTAAACGCCAATCGTTGGGTGCCCAAATTCTACCTCCGGTCATGACTGGAAAGATTACCACCAAGAATAAATTCAATTTTATATTTGGAAAAATTGAAGTGCGCGCCAAGTTACCTGCTGGAAATTGGTTGATACCTGGTAAGTTTTATTTAAAACTTGTGTAATTATTTAATTAATTTTTATTTTGTTCCATTCCGCTACCATTTACGCATTTCTGAGACTAAAAATATTAGAAGCATTACAACGATTTATATAATTTTGTTTAATTATACCATTTGCATGTGCGGAAATTCAATTCTTTGCTTAATAGCAATAAAACGGATTTCCACAAAATAACATCATATCTACCTTTCAACCGTTTTCTGTTTTTATGTTAACTGGCCATGCCATAATGCCATATCTTTTTTAAGCATTTTGGCCAATGTACACATATGTAAACCTACAGTCAAATTAAAAATGTAAATGAGCGTTGATAATACAGTATAATAAATAAGAAACAAATAATTTTAAACGTACAATGAATAATAATAACAAAATGATCTTTATAAATCATCAAATCACAAATCATTCAGAGTACTTGGATTACTGTTTTCAGAAATAAACCTCGAACCTCGCGAAGATGCTTACGGCTCCCGTCGCTATGAGTCTGGTCTGATGAGAGTAGCTTTCGCTAAAGGAAACGCGATCTTCGCCAAGAAACTGTATGGTGGACCAGTACTATCAGACTCTGAACCGTTTAGGACCCTGTTATTGAAGGAAAAGATCGGCATCGACAACTGGAACAGAGACTATCATAATTACACGTTAATTTGGAAGCCAGGTAAGGAGTTAATAAACATGTCATGTTTTTGTTTGATATTAAGATTTCTTTCAGCAATAAGGCCGCCTTATTATAATTATACACATGTTCTATAATATAGTAAATTTGCCAGAAAAAAAATTCAAATGTGTCATAAAATATTTTCTTTGTAAAAAAGCTTATTATAAAATTAAAGAATTTATAAGTGATAATAATGTTTTTGTAGAAAATATCTAACTTAAAATTCATAGCGCTGACAATGTTATCTGATTGAACAGAGATTAAGTGCGTAGCGATTTCTATGTTGATTGTCGCATACCTAATCCTTGTTGTTAATTAAATATAAATAAATCAATATTTATTTAAAAGAACAACACACAAGTTTCTTGCTTATTCTTCTTGTGATGAATCTACATTCCGAATAAGCGGTAGAATAAAAAAACTTGACTATTCAAAAGTGCTTATATTAAGTTTATTTGAATAAATGATTTTCTATTCTATTCTATTCTATTCTTGATTGCAGACGGCATCGAGGTTTTAGTAGACAATGAGAGGTATGGAACCATTAATGCTGGTGAGGGTTTCTACTCCAGTGCTCGGGAACACGCGGTGCCGCATGCTGCAACCTGGCTCAGAGGCACCGTGATGGCACCACTCGATAAACTGGTAATAATAAATACCTGTGTGAATTGTCCTAGGTTACAGGTCCTTACAAAGTAAGCGAGGCGGGACAAATAGAAAAGTTAGAGGTACTTGGACATTAAACATATCTTTTTAACTGGTAACCAGAGAGAATGTGAACTGTCGATGTTGTGGTAAACGCAATACTTGATATGTCCACATTTATAATAATAGAAATAATAATAACCGAGGGCAATTTACAGAGCGTCCCAAGCAAATCTGAGCTTGTATTGTGGGTACTAGACAACTGAAATACTTAGATATTTTTTGTAAATACATAATATACATAGAAAACACTCAGACCAATATAATAATCGTACTCATAAATGCAAAAGTTTTGCATCGTGAGAGGAATCGAGCCTGCGACCATTGGAAGTAACGCGGTGTGCTAAATCACTAGACCAATGAGGCTGAATTGAATTGAATTAGAATTTTTGACAGGACGACGCTACAGTTGTCCCACAGATTAGTATTGCTTGTTATCGGTGTTTCTATTACCGGAGATTTAGTCAGAATTAAGAAAATATACACAAAAGTTTTTGGGTTAGCCAGATTTGCACTTAGGTTTTGTTCTATATCGGTTTGTAAAACACTAAGCACTTTAATAAGTTTTAATTAATCTGTTTTTTTTTAGTTCTATGTTTCCCTGGGTCTTCGAGTTGGAGGTGTCAATGACTTCGCTGACGTCACAGACAAGCCGTGGAGGAACCGAGCGATCAAGGCTGTGCTGAACTTCTGGAATGACAAAGACAATTGGTACCCAACCTGGTACGACTCAAACCTGAAGGTGGACTACGTTAGGGTTTATGCTCTGTGATAATGGTACTGAAAATATACTTTATGACACATAGAATTAAGTTTATAATAAAACAATGCATTTTCTATATTATTGTAAATGCGTTTCGCGTTTTGCGTTCGAATTTCGAAAATAATAATGGCGGACTTATACGATGACTAAATTTCTTTTCGCGGCAATTTATCAACATGTGTGGGATTTTGTATGGCATTTGTATCTTTAACTCAATAAACACAAGGTCCAAATCTTCTAGTGCTCTGAGTTAAAACATTTTATTATAGTTTTAATTCGTGAAACTATTACGCATTTAGCATTTCTAAAAATGCTTCTTTACAAAGTATAGACAACATCTCTTCACTTAGATCATTTAAACTACGCAACGGATTTTAATGCATTTTTAGCAATAGATAGAGTGATTGAATAGAAAGGTTTACATGTAAAATACATGTACACCCGTGCGAAGCCGGGCTAGTAGCTAGTATATTATAAAATACACTAATATTATGAGTATTCTAGATATTTAAAACTGCACATTCTAACGTCTCTTGTTCAGAATTGAATTCAGGACTAGACCGGCTGTAATAGCGGCAAAACAGTACAGTTTATTGTCACCGTATAATCCCGCTATATTTTTCAAACAAGGTGATAAATACTCTTTGGACATAAACTATTTCATTGATTTTATAAGACTGTAATTATAAAGGTTCATTTGCAACGAATTTTATTTGTAGACCCTAAGTTTAATTGTAGGTCTAATAAAATAGAAAAAGAGAAAGGTAACAAAACTGATAACCAAATAATCAATGCCTGTAGTCTCTCCCACATCCGAAATGATTAGATAGACGGCCTCGGTGGTCTAGTGATTTAGTACATGGCCATACTTCCGATAGTCGCGGGTTCAATTAACATACAATACAAACATTGACTTGGGTGTTATCTTTGTATGTACTAAAATACATAATAATAAAATCTTTACATTATGTATTTCTACATACAATAAGAAAAACAGTAAATAGAAAATTAATAAGAAAAGTCGGTCTTATCGCTATAAGCAATTTCTTACATATGTTTAAGCTTTTGTATCAGTTGTTTCGTATCCACAGAAGAATGAAAGAAGTTCTTCTTCATTTAGTTCTAGATGGCTCTGCGCACTGCTCGGGTTATAATAAAAATAACTCTAACGAACTTTATGTGCCAATCAAAAGGCGGCCATATCGCTTAAAGCGATCTCTTACGGACTAACTTCTATTAACTTATCATGATTAAAAAGTTCATGCAGCCTTTGGGTGTGTAAATTGTAACTGTACATTCGATTCCGTGATGATTTAGTTATTAGTTTTGTTATATTTTGACAACATACAGAGTAACCACACGTTAGTGGTAAATAAATGACTGACAATAATAATAGTATACCAAATTAATTATAATGTAATAACATGTTTAAAGCACTTCAAATATCTCAAAACAAGCGTCTTAAATGTACATAAACTTGCGTACATTTTTGACTTCACGTATTAGTTGTTTAAAATAAATGTAAAACTTGTTACTTAATGTGCTCAAATTATGTATAGTAATTAATAATATTTCACTTTTAGTTAGTTAAATAAGTTCAGTTATGTCATCAGTTCTCGATGATCCGGCTCGAAGGACCATATGAATAACGGACACAAAAAATACCACTACCGATAATATCACTTTCTTGTTTACTAGTCTTATGATATGAGACTATATAATAGTATATACTACTATATATAAGTAATTTTACAAAATAAAAATCTATTCTTAACAATACATATTATGGCATCAAATTTATATAATTAACTAGCTGTACTCACGACTTCGTCCGCGTGGAATTTAACTTTCTTTTTCTAAAATAAAAGTAACCTAGTTACTACTTACTACTTATTACATCAGCTACCTGCCAAAAAAAGTCCCGTCAAAATCGGTCCAGCCATTTCAGACCGACAGACAGACAGACAAATATTGTAAAAAATGTTATTTTGGTGTACCGTATTTATATTCATATGTGTGTAATAGAAAACGATTTCAACGAATTCAATATTACAAACAGATACTCCAATTTTGTTTATATGTATAGATAAATTTTTAAATTTCTAATTTCGAATCTTTATATAAATAAAAAGTGAAATATTGTTAGAACACTCATTATGAAGGTTTTATATTCATATTGACTAGTTTATTTAAGTAACTAAAGTTCTAAGTTGTACTTGTACACATTTTTTGACCTCGATATTGCAAGTTGTACACTTATTTAAAGAATAATACTAAATTCCATACGAATATCAAATATTATTAATTTAACATGCTCAAAATAAATGTATAACTTGAATCTTAAATTATTCATGATATATGTAAGTACAACTTAATATTTTAGTTTTGTAAACAATTTGTCTACGACTTGTCTACGAAACTAAATTTTAATGAGATTCTTAAGAAGTGAACAATTAGTTATTTAAGTTACGTTCCTTAAAAACTTGTTTATGTAACTAAAATAACTGTAAGGAAACAACTTTGTATTCGAGATGTTTCCAAATGTAATAATTATGTAGTTATAATTAAACATGTTAGTTGCTCAACATTGTACTGCAGTAAAATTTTATAGGATCGATTTTTTTAATGTGATAATAATAAACTTTTTAAATCATAATATTTAATTTATTTATAATCATAAGATTTTGTTTAAGTTGTCCAATATCCTTAACTGAACCTTAAACTACTTGGAGATGATAACATAATTACAAAAACAATATTATATATATATATAAAATATATTTTTTGTGGTATTTGATTTCCCACCGCTGCCCATCAACCGCTTTCTGTTCTTACCTAATGGTTAGCTGGTAGAGATGGATGCCATATGGCATTAAGCTCACCAAATTGTACAATTTTTAAAAGTGCAATAAAGAATAAATAAAATAAATAAATAAATTTGAGGATGTTGTAGCTTGATGTAAAATAATCGTTTTGTACTACGTGCATATGAATATAAATACGGTACATACACTAAAATATCATTTTTTACAATTTTTGTCTGTCTGTCTGTCTGTCTGTTTGTTTGTTCCGGCTAATCTCTGAAATCGATGGACCGATTTTTATTGTACTTCTTTTGCAGGTAGCTGATGTAATAAGGAGTAACTTGTACTACGTTTATTTTAGAAAAATAAAGTTTGTTCCGACTATGTATATATATATACTCGTATTATACTGGCGACCCGTCCCGGTATTGGGCGGATGCATTACAGAACAACTTGTTATGCTATGTTTAGCATAACAAGTTGTTCTATACTATAACACGGATGTTATAAATCTTTCTCTTGAATCACTCTGTCTACTACTATGTAATATTATGTTATCTGTGCTATTACTGAACAGTGTATTAAAATCCGTTTTGTAATTTAAAAGTTAAGCCAACAGACAGCAGCGAAGACTTGTTTTATACTATGTAACTAACCACCCGCCCCGCTGTACCCGGACGTCGTCCAGGTGGAATTTACTTTATTTTTCTAAAATAAAAGTAGCTTAAGTTACTACTTATTACATCAGCTACCTGCCAATAAAAGTCCCGTTAAAATCGGTCCAGCCATTTCAGAGATTAGCCGAAACAAACAGCCAGACAGACAAAAATTGTAAACAATGTTATTTTAGTGTATGTACCGTATTTATAATCATATGCAGGTAGTAAAAAACGGTTATTTCAATATTACAAACATACACTCCAATTTTATTTATATGTATAGATATATATAATATTATACATATAAACCTTTTCCTCTTGAATCACCCGATCTATTACTGAAAACTGGATAAAATAAGTTTCGTAGTTTAAAAGATAGAAGCGACCAGACAGCGCCGACGATCGTTTTGTACTATGTACCTACGTACCTACTTATCTCATAAGTATAGATAATGGAAATGGTCTCTTAATGTAACATACTATAACACGACCTGAGAAACTCCTTCACTTCTCATTATAATCACGTCGTGTCTTTGTCTTTCTGGAATTGTCACATTAAATACCACATAAGTGGTTATCACACACATAATATACTCAACGTGAACCCGGTTTAGACCCATTCTGTGGTAATGAATAAATTGAGCTGGAGTATAGAGATGGAGCTAAATGGGGCTAATAACAAACAAAATGCAAGGGCATTTTTTTTTTTCGGAAAACGACTTTAAATCTAGCACATCTAAGTCGCTTTCCCAAAATGCTTTTTTTGTTAATGCAGTGTCTTCATCAGGCAGGAATTGGCATTCAGTCTCTTATTTTACTTACGGTCCTGCTATCTTTTTCAGAAAAGATACCTGCAAAGGTATTAGAAAAAAGTGCTGCCCATAAGCACCCGCAACACCAGAGAAATTGCAAGTTCGTTGCCGTCCTTATAAGAAGGCATAAGAATAATAATAATATGATTGTTTAAATATACATAATATATTTAAATACTCATATATAATACAATCATAATCATGAATAATCAAGGAATCAAACCCGTGACCACGAGAAGTATTTAATAATCACATCAATAGCTGGTACGTGATGATGCGGCTCGAATGATAGATGGTAGGTTTGATGGCTTCAGCAGATTACAGGGTTGTCGAAATGATAGAATTTGTAAGCAAATATATCTTAAATGTAATGGTTAAATACTGTGATAACTATAAATTTGGTGGAGTGTACAAAATGTACATTATATCGATCGGTTGATATTTTAAGTCTGTACGGTACGTTGCGTATTTAAATTGGATGGGTGTGCGCTCCAATCAGAACGCTCCCTTTGTGTTGCGTTTTGTTGCTGCTTGTACGCGACAATAGCCATATATAAAAACAAATTAACATAATAAGCCTCTGTAATATATAATCCCATCAAAAACATAAATGTGAAATGATAGCCGAGTTTAATATTATGATATATGCCTTGATTGTTGACTTCTACGACAAAAGAGATGAGATCTAAATGGGTGCCAAGTTCAATGGTCTGTCCTGAAATGTATTTATAACAATATAAAATATCATTTCTTCTTATAACTTAGGATAATATACTGTAGCCTAAGGTCTAACTTGGCCAGTTCTCATATACC